TTTCTGATTTTTTGAGGAACTGCCATACTGCTTTCCATAGAGACAGTACCATCTTACCTGCACAGGGTTTTAATTTCTCCATATCCTTGATACCACTTTTGTATTTCATTTTAATTTCTCTGCTTCCTCCTCCTCTTCTTCCCTCCCTCTCTCCCTTTTTTCTTTCCTTCCTGGCATCCTGATGAAAGAGTGTATAACTGTACTTTGGATTTGCATTTTTCTACCAATTAGTGATTTTGACAATCTATTTGAGTGCTTTTGGCCATTTTTGTATCATTTGTAAACATGGAGACATTCCTGTTCAAGTCCTTTGCCCATTTTTTAATTGGATTGCTTTTGTTGTGTTTTAGGAGTTTCCTATATGTTCTGGATATTTGCTTGGTTTGCAAATTTTTTTTTCCCATTTTGTGGGTTGCCTGTGGTCTTTGGTAGTGTCTTTTGGTGTACTTTCCCAACACTTGTCAGCATAATTTGTTGAAATCAAGACAAATGTGGATGGAAAAACCCAAACAAGTAAGTATCAGGCTGCACTAATTTCAGCTTCTAGTGTAACCCGGAACTGTGTTTTGTGGCAAAGAGAGTTGTTTGCAGGCGGAAGCAGGTAGTGTTAGCATTATTCTGAGCTACGACAGCAAGGTCAGACATACAAACCAGCACTTGGTGGCGGTGACAGTTGTAGGCTATTCTGGGAACTAAGGAGGCTTTGTTTGTAATGCTTCTTTGCACTCCTAGATTTAACTCTGGCACTGGTCACCACCAGCCACTTTTGCCTTTGATATAGAGAACAGTATCAGGTAGAGTAGAAAGATCACAGTGCTCTTTCCCCAGTTTATTGGTTAAAAAACCCCAACAAATAAGTATTTTACATTGGAGAAAGCTTGTCTTTAGTAAAAGAAAAGTAACATGTTGGTTTTAGGAAGTTACGAGTTATTTACTTGGCAGATTTTGAAATCATTCTTGTGAACTAATAATTAAGTCATATCTTCATTTCTTAGTGAACTTAGAACAAATTGTTACTTTAGTAATATTCTGTGTGTCTTTAGCAATGCAAAATAAGAGGAAATGGACTTCAGCCACCACAGAAGGAGTTTGAGTTAAAAGCAAAGAAGTTCTCTATTGTTGTCATGAGTAACAGCAAAAGCTTAGCGTCCTTCCCAAGAAAAGGAAAAGACCTCTGGTCCTGGAGGGTTTAGTATAGCTCTGAGCAGAGGCATGGTTCTGGAGTCCATGACCCTGGACAGGGTTTCAGAGATGGGCAATTCTGTTCATGTACCATGATGTAGTCGTGAATGAGTCAGCAGCACAGCTGCAGATGGACTGGGCAGAGGACATCTAAATTTAGTCATTATTCACTTGAGAAGCTTTTCAGGGACCATTCGTCTCTCATCCATACTTTATTCATATTCATTCTGGAAGCAGAGACAGAGAGGGAGAGAGAAAGAGAAAAAAAGAGATGGGGTGAAGTGAACAGTTTTCACTAAGGTATTCATTAGAGTAAGTGTCCCATAACTCTGTTGCTTGGTATCTCCTATAAGGCTGAATCTTTTCTAGTTTGTCATGGTCCACACTATTTTATTCATTTAACTTCTGAATTACATGAACCCATAGTGCTCTGAAACTTAGAATTCTGAAGTTATTCTTACAAACAAGCTCCCAAATCTTGCTAGGTTTTTTTTTCCCCTGTGGTGGGATTGGATTGTGAAATCAGGACTTTGTGTTTGCAAAGTAGGCGCTCTACCACTTGAGCCACACCTCCAGTCCATCTTGCTTATTCTGGAGCTGGGGTCGTGTGAACTTTTTGCCCAGGCTGGCCTTGAACCTCGATCCTTTCAATCTCAGCCTCTCAAATAGCTAGGATTACAGGTGTGAGCCACCAGTGCCCGGCTTAGTTTTTTAGTTTTACTTTTTAAAAATCAAATTACTTTCCTCCCATAAGGTATTGAGGGTCAGGGGAGCACTTCATAGGTGAGGGTTAAATAAATTTTTTTTCTTCCCTGGGGAAATTGCTATTTATTAAACCGTTGGCTTAAAAGCAAAATGTCAGAAACTGTTCTAATGGCTTATCTACTTTAATTCTCATAAAACCCTATGAGGTGGATGGTATTCCCAGTACTACAGATGAATATACTGATATTGTTATATGCATTAGCAGAGCTGATAAGCAAACCATGTACTGTCCGATCCAAAGCTGGTGATTTTAATGATATACTGTCCTTTACTTTGTAGAGGGTATGGGGAATGATTCAAAACAGTTGAACTACTTTATTATTTTCTCTAAAATAATTCTTCAGAGATTGATGATCTATCAAATTATATTTCAGATTAGGGCAGATTTTATTGTTGTTCTCTCAAACTTTCACACTATTTCATTCCCATAAAAATATATCAAGGATTTGAGATTTCTAGGCAACAATATTACACAATTGGTAAGGAGAACTTTCTGAAATAGTGATGAAGTGAAGGAGAGTAAGAAAAGGATGGAGATTTTAAGAAGGATGGAGAGAGACAAAGTAAAATTTCTCTTGTTTGATACCTGGACTAGCTGAGCTTATTTTAGGAGCCCTGGAATTTGGCTGCTGACATCTTCAAAGGGCAAAGAATGATCTTGATAACTTTGGCTCCCAAAGTCTGCCTTGTGGTGGTGTAGTCCACTGCTTCTAGTGGTGGAGCTAAGTTTTTAGACTGTTCTTTCAGAGCCAAAGAAATTTTGCAACCAAGAAAGCAGTTGATTTAGCTGTCCTGGGCTGTACAGGTTAAGGTGGCACATTGATCTTCTTGACATAGGAGTTATTATTATTAAGGGCAAAGAGTGTATTTAGCACAACTCTTATGATGATTAATTTTAATTGTCAATTTGATTGAACTGAGAAACCCTTAGGATATTGGTTTTGTACATCTTTGGGAGTGTCTGACGGTGTTTCCAGAAAAGATTACGTCGTAAGAGCTCTGACCTAATGAATGGGTTAATCTCTTGATGGATTCATAATATGCTGGTGTTATTGGGCGGTGGTAAAATCAAGTTGGAGGATGTAGATCACTGGGGCATGTCCTTGGGGCTATATCTTGCTCTGGCCCCTTCCAGTGTGCCCTCTCTCTACATCCTGTCTGTCATGAGGTGAACCGCTCCCTTCTCCTACATACTCCTGCTGCCATGTTTTGCCCAAGTACATGGGGCCAAGCAACCACCAACTAAACCCCCTGAAGCCATGAGCTAAAATAAACAATTCCTTCCTTTACATTGTTTAGGTTAAGCATTTTGTCACCATGATGAGAAAAGTAACTAAAATACTTTGTTTCTCCCTGGAGAAAGTGCCTTCTGTAGTCTGAATATGCCCTCAAAATTTAGGTGTTGAAACTTTAATTCCTCAATGCAGCGATGTTGGAAAATAGAACCTAATGCAAGGTGTTTTGGTCATGGTGGGTAGAACCCTCACAAATGGATTAATGCCCTTCTTTGTGGGAATGAGCTGGGGGTCCACTCCCCTTTTCTCTCCCTCTCACATAGCCTTTGCCCTTCCATTTTTCACCATGAGTTGAAGTAGCACAAGGTCCTCACTAGATGCTACTGCCTAATCTTAGCCTGTAGAACAATGACACAAAGGAAAGCTCTTTCCTTTCAGATTACCCAGGTATTCTGTTATAGCAACAGAACATGAATTAAGACATGCCTACTTCCATATTTTCACTTAAAAGGTTTTATTTACAGTTTTTAGCAAGGTTCTCCACAGTGAGTTGCCTGGACCTTGCCAAATGGAATTACAACCAACTTAATAATTATGAAATATTTAAAAAATCTTATAAATAGTGAAATATTTATGTGGTAAAGAAATAAAGACAGTAACTGGGATTGCTTATGGAAGTTGATAAACTGAAGATAAAGTTATAGAAGAAATTGATTTCTGGAGCTTCTGTTGAAAAAGAGACTTTTATGAGTATTGGCTGGGGGTCATTGGACCTCAGAAGGTCTGGTTAGAGGAATATATTATATTGCATCAAGTCAAATTTAGGCTTATACATTTAGCTAATGGCAACAATTGTAAAAAAAAAAAGTATCAAATGGTTTGGGAAAACCTAACAAAGATGCTTTTTGTAACCAAAGTTACCTAATTATATTTTCACTTAAATTGAATCAGCCTTTTTTCATAAATCCCCCCTGCTTTTAGGCAGGTTTGGCATGAAGTTTGTGTATGGAGGGAGTTCCTGTTAGTTCTCTTGATACATATGTTCTGCTTAGGTCCTATAGTAACAACAGTCCTCTGGAGTTCTAGCCTGAATTCCTTGGTGGTGATGATTCCTGCTCATCATCACCATAAAATGTCCCTTGGTATGTTTGATTGAAGACAGTGGTTCTCAAACTGTTTGATCTCCATATTCCTTAAACTTAAAAATTTATTCATAATCTCCCCCAAATTGATTTGGAACTTTGTTCATATTGACTATTATTTGCTACTGAGAAAATTAAAAGATATATACTTGTTAATTTAAAAAAATCCTTTACATATTAATATAAGTTGTGTGTGTGTGTGTGTGTGTGTGTGTGTTTGTGTGTGTGTGTGTTTTGGCAGTACTGGGGTTTGGACTCAGGGCTTCACACTTGCTAGGCATTTGCTCTGCCACTTGAGTCACTCCATCAGCCCTTTTTGTGTTGGGTATTTTTGAGAAAGGGTCTCCTGAACTATCTGCCATGGCTGGCCTGGAGCTACAATCGTCCTGATCTCTGCTCCCAAGAGTAGGTAGGATTACAGGCATAAGCCACAGGCACCTGGCTTAAATTACGTATTTTAATTAAAAAAAAACAACTATATACCTTTAAAAACAGAAAAGCAGAAAAGTGGCATCTGTTTTCCCTTTTCTGTAAAAGGGATTTTTGTAAATCCCTTTTAATGTCTGCATTAAATCTATTGTAACATTATTTTTGTTAAAGTGTATAAAGAAACTCTGGGAAGGGAGGAGTATTTTAATAGGCTACTGACAATTATACTGAAATGCCAAGTGGAAGTTTCTTAAATGTTAGTTGCAGTGTGGAAACTAAAGTATGTCAATGGGCTTGTCTCATCTGTTACATGGTCTAGCTTGTACTTTGAATGGATATTTTACCCATGCTTGATTTCCTAACACCATGCATTTAGTTACTTGAAAAATAGAGGCACATTGAGTCATGCAGATCTTCCAGTTGTAAACAGCTCTCATTATGTCAACAAATCACACTGTTGATAGTCCCACTGTGAGCATCACAAGAGTATCAGGAAACTGGCAAACTTTGTGGTAGTGGCTGTATTTCCCCCAAATTCCAATTTTCACATGCATGGTCAGATTTTATCATTAACAACAAATACTAGTCATTTCCTTTGAGGTGAGAAGTTTCTTTGTTCATTTTCACATCTGAATAATCATTAATTATCAGTTATTCTCTTGAATAAAAGTAGTAGTCTGAAAAAAGTGGCTAGTTCGCTTTTCAACTCAACATGCTACACAACTGCTTTTGCCTAAAAACAGTCCTCATATTTCAGGTATGACAGAGTGCTTCGAGTATACTTCTCATGTTATCACACAGAATATTAAAAGACTTAGACTCAAGGACTTAGATTTAATAAAGTAAGTAATTCTTACTCTTTCATCAAGGTTATCCTGAAGTGTAGTTGGCTTTTTAAAAAACATAGTTGTCTTGATTTGTGCTAAGGTACTAGTAATTTTACTCACCATTGCTTTGGCATCATTAGTGCAAATGTCGCACAATAATAAAGCAAATAAACTCTTTATGTTATGAAAATCATTTTGATTTGGTTAATGAATTCTTCAGCTAAAGTTGATTTTTTTATTTGAAAGAGGGGATTCACAGGCAAATTTTGAAAAAGGTGGTCTTTCTTGCTTCTAGGTCTTGAATTATCTCAACTATTTTAGCCTGAATAATAATTACCTTTGTCAATATGGGCCTTTTATTTTCTTTTTATTCTGTAGCTATGTTAAGACAGCTTTTTGGTTTTTATAGACTGTTACTTTTTAGGCTTATAGGCAGCCATAAGCCTTTATTCAGAAAGTTTTTGTGCTTTGTCCTATTGGTACTATGAGATGGGCAGATGAGAATTTTAAACACCCAAACTACAAACATACTTTCCATATTGTCAGACTGAAACTATTTGGAAAAATGCATGGAAAGAAAATACATTTCTTTTATTTGAAATAATCCCTCTACCCTTTCTCACAAAAGGTGGTTATTTAGCACTCCTAGAGTATTAAACTACAACTGTCCACTGAGAAAATTCTATGTGATTATTTTCTCTAAAATTCATAAACAAGTTAGTGCTTATCATATTTCTAACATGTTGTTCTCTATATAACATAATGATTAAATAGCCCACCCATTTATATCACATTAGAAACCACTTTCATAATTTATCCTATTAATACTGAGCACTGTAAATAATAGTCCTGTAGTACACCTGAGCTTAGAAGTCACATTCTGGATGTTCAGTATGAAAAAAATCAAAGTGTCCTTAGAACTGTTGGGTATGGTCAAAGTCCAGAGCAGTGTCTGGCACATAGTAGAACTCAATCCATACTGCTGAACAAATGAATGGATTTTTCTTTTCAGGCCTGCATTGATGAAAATTTGGACATGGTGAAGTTTCTGGTGGAGAACAGAGCCAATGTAAACCAGCAAGACAATGAGGGATGGACACCCCTTCATGCAGCAGCTTCCTGTGGCTATCTCAACATAGCAGAGTGAGTGAGTTTCTGTGTGGGTTAACCCTTCATTTCTTCTTGTAAGAATTTGAATTTCATTAACAGTTATAATCGCTATTACAAATTATAAAGGCAGGAAATTCATTATTTTTAAGGGATAACTGATACAGTGTGTTATATAGCTACTAAATCCACAGTTTCTTAGTTGAATCTTTTTGTTTGCTTCTATTTTTTTATTATCATATTATTGTTGTACTGGGGGTACATTGTGACATTTACAAATGTTCTTACAATAATCATAATTGAATTAACCTCCTCCATCATTGTCTTTTAACTCTCCCCTCCCTGCCCATTCCTGGAATAGTTTCAACATGTCTCATTTTTCCATTTTCATACATGAGTACCTAATATTTCTTCACCCTCCTATTTTTATATAATTTATATTTGCTGGAATATGCAGAGGTAGCTTCAGTCTGGTACACTGTCAAGGTTTACTTCTAAATAGCTAAAGCAGAGCAGGCCAGACTTTTTTTTTTTCTGGTCTTCTCTGTAAACCTGTTTTGTGTTTGTTTATTTGTATGGTTGGCTCTTTTTGGTAGTATTGGAATTTGAATTCAGTCAGGGCTTCATGATTGCAAAGCAGGCACTCTACCACTTGAGCTACACCTCCAGTCTCATAAACCTGTTTTTTGAAAAATCAGTGCTTGGTACAAGTGAAAGTAGAAAATACCTGGCATGTTGGTCATGCTAATTAATAGCAGAAAAAAGAGCCCAAACAGCTGGGACAAGGTAGGGATTAGCATGTGCTCTCCATGTTGTTGAGTGGGTATGTTTAATAAGAAATACTAGTAGCAATTTACCTCCATTACTCCATTACAACAGGTTGCTCTTGCTTGAGCAGAAGAATCCTGACCACATAGTGCCTGAGATATAAGAGGCACTAAATCAATGTTGTTTGAAGGAATGATCAGAGAGGTTGTTTTTAAATAGGAAGAGACTTTGGTAGTTGAAACATCTTTAAAATGAAGCAATTGAGTGTATTGTAGAACAGGGCAAGTTTAGATTGATAAGGTACATTTCCTAAATAAAATCACAATATTCTAAGGTCCTTTGAAAATCAGATTGGTTGTTTTAAGGCTTTTTCAATAATATGATTAGAGCTCCATTACATTTCTCTTATTTAGCATAATAGGGAGAATTTATGTTGGCAGCCGTGTAGAGGTCTGAGAATCTGATTTGCTTAGGTTTCCTCCGGGAGAGCCTGAGTTGCTAGGTTTGCTCACTTGAGCCAGCGATGCTCAGCAGAAGTCAAAACACAGGGAGAGTGAGGGTCAGAGAAACACTATAAATCAGCACTGGTGTTTCACTGTGCTGCTTGCTCAAAACAGTAGACTGCTGGATTGATCCCAAAGCCAAGACAATTGAGTAGTGCAGGGTTTTTTTGCTATTCTTCCTCACTATGTTCTAAATTAGTAAGTCAGTCATCTCCTCATCCTGTGGGCTGCCTCCATTTCAGAGTCTCACAGGAAAGGCTCTGATTCTCAGCCTTACTCACTAATGCCGAATTTCTGTTGTCTAAGAGTTAGGGTAACTTCTTAGTCCGTTTTGACTATACTTAAAATACTCATCTAAGAAACATGGAGCATTATTTACCCCTCATTACTGGTATTTGATTATTTATTTGGGTGGTGTGTTTGTGATAGTTGAGCTATCAAGGATGCACTTTTCCAAGTGGGTTTTGGGTTTTTTTTTTTTTTTCAATTTTCTAAGAAGTGCTTATGCTTAATTCTTTAATTCTTTTTTTTTTTTTTTTTTGGTGGGACTGGGGTTTGAGCTCAGGGTCGTCTACCACTTAAACCATACCTCCAGACCAGTGCTCATGCTTAGAATTCAGATTGCCTGTGTTTTTATTCTTCTGTGAAACTGAGCACAGACAATGATTGTAATGCTTTTTTACAGTGGTTTCTTTAATTCATCTGTGTGGAGGAACACAGTTCCTTTGGAAATAAATTAAAAATTCTTGCTCAACCAATTACCCTGAATAAAGTAAAATTGTCAGTTACTATTTCCTCTTATAAGTTATTACAAACTATAATATATGAATGTCTGAGCGTGAGTGAGATGATCTAGATCAGAATCCATTGTAGAAGTGGAGTGGTGGCAGGAATAACCTGTTTTACCTTTCCTTATGTGTGTCATTATTATACAGGTGTTCATTTTACTGTCATTATTTATTGAGAATATGTAGCATTTTTTTTAGACAATGGAAAATAACCTGATTATATTATTTAATTGGGTTGTTTTACCTCAGGGCCAATGAAGACTGTTTTAAATAAGATCACTCCTTGGTCTTGGTCATCTTAGCCATTTTTTTTGGTGGAGCTTTGGGGTTTTATTTTTTTTATTCTGTTTTTTGGCAGTACTGGGGTTTGAACGCAGGGCCTTGTGCTTGCTAGGCAGGCACTCTACTACTTTAGCTGTTCCCCCAGTCCTTCATTGGTTGGGTATTTTTTGATATAGGGTCTTGAGAACTATTTACCCAGGCTGGCTTTGAACCACAATCCTACTGATCTGTCTCCTGAGTACCTAGTGGGCCACCAGTGTTTGTTTTGTTTTTGAGACTGGTTTTGTTATATAACATAGGAAGCCCTCAAACTCATGGTCCTTAAGAATATTGGTATTACAGTTGTATGCCACTGTGCCTGGCTTCTTGGTATCTTAAAGATCTTACAGTTCACACTCTTGATTTTCAGGCTCATTAGAAACTTTAACTTTTGATGGGGTAAATATGAATAAAAACTAAACTGGATTTCCAGAAAGAACTCAAGTACATTCAATTTCCTGCTCCATGATGATCTTTTTTTTTTTATCTGATATTTATACTCGGTATGATACGTAACAAAAAGAGAGGTTTAGAGATTATTTTTCCTCATTTTAATTTGAGTTCAGGCTTAATATTAGTTAGCTGAGTTATTCCTACATTTTTGTTCTGAATTGTGTTTGACTTAAAGCAACAGGTTGACCCAAAGGTGCAATTTGATTTGATTTATAGTTTTTTGTGATGCTAATTTATTCTGTGTTTTTCTTAATATATTTCATTTTCTTTCTTTCTACCTTAAAATAGTAGCAAAAGACCTTTTATCAGTGATCAACAAGAAGGCTTTATTTTCTAAGGGCATATGTATTGAGCTAGTGGTCTTCTACTACCTACTATTTCTACCTACAACTTCATGGCAGATGCTTATTCTTATTCAAGTAGAAGTGTAAAACTAAAGAGTTTTTTTTTTCTTTTTTCTTTTATTCATATGTGCATACAATGTTTGGGTCATTTCTCCCCCCTTCCCCTGCCCCCTCCCTTACCTATCCCCTCCTACCCCCTGGCTACCAGGCAGAAACTATTTTGCCATTATCTCTAATTTTGTTGAAGAGAGAGTATAAGCAATAATAGAAAGGACCAAGGGTTTTTGCTAGTTGAGATAAGGATAGCATTGCTTTCCTGTACATGTGTGTCACCTTCTAAATTAATTCTTCTCGAACTAACCTTTTCTCTAGTTCCTGGTCCCTTCTCTTATTGGCCTCTGTCACTTTAAAGTATCTGCATTAGTTTCTCTGCATTGAGGGCAACAAATGCTATCTAGTTTTTTGGGTGTTTTACCTATCCTCATATCTCCCTTGTGTGCTCTCACTTTATCATGTGATCAAAATCCAATCCCCTTGTTGTGTTTACCCTTGATCTAATGTCTGCATATGAGGGAGAACATACAATTTTTGGTCTTTTGGGCCAGGCTAACCTCGCTCAGAATGATGTTCTCCAGTTCCATCCATTTACTTGCAAATGATAAGATTTTATTCTTTTTCATAGCTGCATAAAATTCCATTGTGTATAAATACCACATTTTCTTAATCCATTCATCAGTAGTGGGGCATCTTGGCTATTGTGAATAGGGCTGCAATAAACATGGATGTGCAGGTGGCTCTGGAGTAACCTGAGTCACATTCTTTTGGGTATATGCCCAAGAGTGGTATTGCTGGATCATATGGTAGATCTATGTTTAGATTTTTAAGAAGCCTCCAAATTTTTTTCCAGAGTGGTTGTACCAGTTTGCATTCCTACCAGCAGTGTAAAAGGGTTCCTTTTTCCCCACATCCTTGCCAACACCTGTTGTTAGTGGTGTTGCTAATGATGGCTATTCTAACAGGGGAGAGGTGAATCTTAGTGTGGTTTTAATTTGCATTTCTTTTATGGCTAGAGATGGTGAGCATTTTTTCATGTGTCTTTTGGCCATTTGAATTTCTTCTTTTGAGAAAGTTCTGTTTAGTTTGCTTGCCTATTTCTTTATTGGTTCATTAATTTTGGGAGAATTTAGTTTTTTGAGTTCCCTATATATTCTGGTTATCAGTCCTTTGTCTGATGTGTAGCTGGCAAATATTTTCTCCCACTCTGTAGGTGGTCTCTTCAGTTTGGAGACCATTTCTTTTGTTGAGCAGAAGCTTTTTAGTTTTATGAAGTCCCATTTATCTATGCTATCTCTTAGTTGCTGAGCTGCTGGGGTTCCATTGAGAAAGTCCTTGCCTATACTTATTAGTTCCAGAGTATTTCCTACTCTTTCCTGTACCAACTTTAGAGTTTGTGGTCTGATATTAAGATCCTTGATCCATTTTGAGCTAATGTTGGTATAGGGTGATATACGTGGATCTAGTTTCAGTTTTTTTGCAGACTGCTAACCAGTTTTCCAAGCAGTTTTTGTTGAAGAGGCTCCTTTGTCAAAGACAAGTTGGTTATAGTTGTGTGGCTTCATATCCGGGTCCTCTATTCTGTTCCACTGGTGTTTATGTCTGTTTTTGTGCCAGTACCATGCTGTTTTTATTGCTATTGCTTTATAATATAGTTTGAAGTCGGGTATTGTGATACCTCCAGCATTGTTCTTTTTAATGAGTATTGATTGCCTTGGCTATTTGTGGCCTCTTGTGTTTCCAAATAAATTTAACAGTTGATTTTTTAATCTCTTTGATGAATGTCATTGGAATTTTGATGGGAATTACATTAAACATGTAGATTACTTTTGCGAGTGTAGACATTTTTTAATGTTGGTTCTACCAATCCATGAGCATGGGAGATCTCTCCACTTTCTATAGTCTTCCTCAATCTCTTTCTTGAGAATTTTATAGTTTTCCTTATAGAGGTCATTCACAAGAGTAAACTTTTTGTTGAAAATGGGAAAATGTAGAGCCAGAGTACTTCCTGTAAGCCAGTCTTTGTGTGTGTGTGTGTGTGTGTGTGTGTGTATGTGTGTGTGTGGTATTAGGTTTTGAACTCAGGGTCTCACAGTTGCTGGGCAGATGCTGTACCACTTGAGCTACTCCACCAGGCTTTTTTTGTGTGTGTTCAGTATTGAGATAGGGTCTTTTGTTGCCTGGGCTGGCCTCAAAATGTGAGTTTCCTGATCTCTGCCTTCTGAGTAGCCAGGATTACAGGCGTGAGCCTCTAGCGCATGGCCTAAACCAGTCTTCTTGATCATGGGCCCAAGAACAAGTTAGAAAAGGGAAAAGCTGGGGTTTGTACACCTGAAGTACATTATACCTGATCCAATGAAGAATGGGTAAATGTTAGAGCAGAGTGGTCAGGATGGTTCATTTACAATAACATTCATCACAGAGATGGAAAAATCTACCCTAAAGTTCATTTGAAAACACAAAAGACCATGAATAGCCAAGGCAATACTGAGCACAGAGAGTATCTCTGGAGCTATCACTATCAAAATACCTGACTTCAAACTATACTACAGAGCCATAGCAATAAAAAGCCCATGGTACTGGCACAAAAACAGACATGAAGACCAGAATAGAGGACCCACCTTATTTTTGACGAAGGTGCCAAAAACATATGATGGAGAAAAGACAGTCTCTTCAACAAATGTTATCTGCTTGCAGAAAACTGAAACTAGATCCATGCTTGTCACCCTGCACTAGTATCAACTCAAAGTGGATTAATGACCTTAATATCAAACCCGAAACCTTGAAGTTAGTATAGGAAAGAGCAGGGAATACACTGGAAGCAACAGATACAGGCAAGAACTTCCTCAGTAGAACTTAAGTGGCCCAGCAACTAAGGGAAAAGATTGACAAATAGCACTACATGAAATTAAAAATCTTCTGCACAACAAAAGAAATGGTCTCTAAATTAAAGAGACTACTCACAGAATAGGAGAAAATTGTTGCTAGCTATACATCAGACAAAGGACTGATAACCAGAATATACAGGGAGCTCAAAAAACTCCCCCAAAATCAATGAACCAATGAAGAAGTGGGCCACTGAACTAAACAACTTTTTCAAAGAAGTCCAAATGGCCAAAAAACACATGAAAAAATGCTTACCATCCCTGGCCAGAAAGAAAATACAAATCAAAACCACACTAAGATTCTCCCTCACTCCTGTTAGACTAGCCAGCATCAAGAAACACTACCAGCAACAAATGTTGGCAAGGATGTAGGGGAAAAAGGAACCTTTATACACTGCTGGTGGGAATGTAAGCAATATGGAGGCTTTTTAGAAAAACTAAACATAGATCTGCCATATGATCAAGCAATACCACTCCTAGGGATATAGCTGAAGGAACGCAACTCAGGTTTTTACAAAGGCACCTGTCCATGTTTATTGCAGCGCTATTCACAATAGCTAAGTTATGGAAACAGCCAAGATGTCCCACTATCGAAAAATGGATTAAGAAATTACAACAATGGAATTTTATTCACCCACAAAGAAGGATGAAATTTTATCATTTGCAAGTATAAATGGATGGAACTGGAGAATATCTTAAGCAATGTTAGTCAGGCTCAGAAGGCCAAAAATCACATTTCTCCCTCATGTAGATTATAGACCTAAAACAAATGCAGTAATTTTTTGGACCTGGGTCACACACTAAGGGGAGACCACACATGGGAGGAATAGGGAAAGGGAAGGAAACCTAAAACTTGAATATGGTTGATATGCTCACTGTATAAACTGGCAGAGGCCACTATGGGAAGGGGACTGGGAAGTAGTGAAGAGGTCTGGTAGAGATGAACCAATATGAGTTGTAATACACATGTACATGGAAAGAACACTTGGAATCTCTCTGTATAGCTATCGTTATCTCAAACTAGCAAAAACACTGTGTTTTTCTAATTATCTCTTACGTTTTCTCTTCAAGAAAATCGGAGAACAAGATGACAGAACAGGTTCTGCCTGGAAAGTGGAGGGGTGTTAAATAATGCATACACATGTAAATAAATGTAAAAACAATAAAATAAAATTTTAAAAAAGATGGGTCATTTAATTCAAACAATACTTAATGGAGTGCCAAGAGAAAAGAGAAAGTGTCAGATGCCTTGGTGATGATAATAGTGAGGAAGACACAGCTGTTGCCCTCTAGTACCTTCCAGTCATAGAGTGGTTGCATGAAGGTATAGTTTATGTCTCAACAGAGGTTAGTGTTTGGTGGGTTGGGAGAGTGGCATTAAAGGAGGGAGAGAGAGAATTCAGTAGACGGGAACAGGCACAGGCTTCTTGAAGGCAAAAGTATTCCAAATGGACATTGAATGATATAAAAGTAGTCTATAAGGGAAAAGAGAGGTGAGTGCTCCATCCAGATGGAGGAAACAATTTGTACTTTGGAGGAGAGTGGGGAATGTGTTTGGGAATAGTAAGTGGTTCAGTTTGGTTATAGAATTCAGTCCAACAAATACTTACTGTGTGTTTACTGTGGAGACTTTGTATTTTGATTTTTCAGGATGAGGGAGATATAGTTGAATGTTCCTTTGGCCTGAAGGGAAGGAACAAGAAGAGAGGAGCTATTGAATATGGGGAAACAAAGGAATAATTAATGGGCAGAATGGTGATACTTGATAGATTTAAGAGTACAAATAGAGGGAATTTACTTTGGAATTGTATAAGGTCTATCTTTCAGTCTGTGAGGGAAGGAAGGAGATAGTTGAAAAATTAGATGAATTGTGAATGCCTTTGAGCTTTATATATGTGGAATCAATCTATAAATTAACACTTAATGAAGTCCTATTATATCAGGTTTGTAGGCACCAAGAAAGCAAAAATTATGGTCTTAATCTAATTTTCATTGATTTTTTCTCCTGTGCCAACTCTTTGAATGTATTAGCTATATATTAATTTCTTAAAATACCTCCTACAATGTCTAAAATGTGGTTTTTTAAAGGAGTAGTAGACCAGCAAATGCTCATTGAGTTGTCAAATGGTTTTATTGAATTGTTGAATGGATTGAAGTCTAACTCACATAGTTTTTGTTTCCCCTTTAAATATCTCTATTTGGTAGAGTTTCCAACATTATTGGAGTTCTCATTGGCGCAAAAGTATTTTGATGTAGAGAAAAGGTGAATTGACTTGAATTCAAAAGCCTGGGGCTATAGCCTATGTCACATGCCAGGGTTTGATTTTGAGAAAATGACTTACCATGTGTGAACCTCAATTTCTTAAAGTAGGAATAGTACCCACTTTTGCCTGCTTCATAATCTTGCCTAAGAATCATGATAGCATATTTTTGAAAGTACTTTGAAAATACAAAAGGATCCATGTGAGTTACTGAAATTATCAGCTCTTTTTTCTTCAGGATCAAGTGTTCTGTGTGAATTTAGAATCCAGCTATTAGCATTTTAATGTTTCTTCTTCGGTAATTTAGTTTCCTCAAAAGATGGCTGGTTGAAGGGATAGTTTTTTGGAGGTATAATAAAGGAGGATTCATACAAATTTTAATGCATACTTTATTCTGTTTCACATCCACAGCACTACTTAATAATCTCCACTTGGCACTGGAAAAGTTTTCATGAGAATTACTTATTTGGATAGCTTCTAGAGGCTTTCTTTCATTCCTAATATTACAATTGCAGTAAGTGCTTTTGGAAACCTCATTTGGATATCAGGAAGGCGGATGAACATTAAGGGCTGCATGCCTTCCTCATGGTATTCAGAAAGTCTCTTACGATCCATTGGAACGGAGAGGGTGGGGGTTGGGAATATAAATATAAAAGAAATCCTATTTTGACACTGCTTTTGTCAGGAAGTGGAGAAATTTCCAGTCTTAATTATTGAAGGATAATAGGGTTGGAAATTAATAACAAAACCAACTTATCTGGGACTGTATTTAAAACCTGTTAAATATGTCTTGCTGTGCATTGAACTCCTTGTGCATGAGTATACATTGATATCAGATGTACAGAGATAATACTGATTCTGGATCTTGTTGTACAGGTATTTCATTAACCATGGAGCCAGTGTGAGTATTGTAAATAGTGAAGGTGAAGTCCCCTCTGACCTTGCAGAAGAGCCAGCCATGAAGGATCTTCTTTTGGAGCAAGTAAAGAAGCAAGGTAACCTAGGGAATTGGTGGGGCTGGAGAGGCTCTCAAACTGCCCCTTACAGAACGTAGTCCATTTGTTATGTAGAGAGTTTTGATTATCATATGACGGCAAAGGATTAGATCTGTCTGCACAGCTTTAATCATCAATTACCAACAGCATATTGGTGATTGGTTCTAGTAACTCACACAAGAATAGGCCAAACACCAAAGGAAGAACAGTCATTCCTTGCTTTTTGCTGAGGTTGTATGCCTATTGAGTAGTTTAGGAATGACCTGAGGAGGAATGTAAACAGTCCTTTAGTTGTGTGTATATATTATATTAGATCTGCCACACGTTTTAGAATCCAAAGAAAGGATTGGGTATAGTATGGTCAAATTCATTTTGTGACGGCATCTTTTTGTTTTTTGGTACTGGGGTTTGAACTCAGCTTTGCACTTGCAAGGCAGGCACTCTACCACATGAGCCATGCCTCTAACCATGCATTTCTTTTCTTAATGAGTACAAAAGTGGTGCTGGTGAAGATACTTATTGTAACATCTGAAATTATTTTTAAACATACTAACATTGGAAATTGTTCTGGTAGTGTGTTAAGGTGAGGGACCTAACTTAGAAGAATATGCATTTAAAATGTGTCTTTTTATTTCTTAGTTTTAGAATAATTCGTTGCAGGGAATAGGATGGGATTCTCCAATAGGAGATCTTTGAGTTCTTTTAATTAAAAGAAATGTTGAATAACTGTAGACTGAGAGCAGTAAGATAGGTCTTAGGAATTCTGCTAGAACCATCATGAAACTCTGGATATGATTTGCAGTGATTTTTTTTTTTTTGAGGCAGTGGTGGTCTGCTAAACAACCTTACCCACAATTTGTAGTTCTTCCCAAAGGGTTTAGCCCTAGTGACCTTTTTCAGTCCTTTAGAACAGTCAGGGCCAAATCTGACCTTGCCCATTTATTTACATATTGTCCAAAGTTGTGGGTGTGAGAGTGATCTGTCTGTACTGTCACCCCATTGATCGCCAGGGTTGATTTGGCTGATCTGGCTGGCTTGGCAGGTGTCCCATTCCTCCTTCACCACTCCCTGTGTGTCCCTCCCTAAGCCATGAGCTCAGACGAAGATGAGCTTCCCCCACAGAGGAGGACCATTCTTTAGTCAAGGGTATCTGAGTATCTGTGCTCCACTGCTAGAACCTCCAAACAAACTCTCAAGGACCAAAGCTGCGTTGACCTACAACAGCAGAATTACATAGTTTTGATATACCAGATGACTGGCAACCTGAGAATATTTAATACCTGGCTCTTTATAGAAAGTATGCTGAGCCTGCCTTATCATAATAACGTTCTTGGGTGACAACTGCTGTTTTTTCTGCCTTCTGTATACAGTTTTTATGCCCTCTTGAATTAAAGACTGTTGTGCTTAGTTTACCCTCTCATCCCACTCAATTTCATTTCCTAAGTTATGTTTTTACAATTTTCAAATAACTTTTTAAAAAGTCAGATTTTAAGAATACTTTTGGTTTAAGAATCTGCTTTTCTGCTTTTTCTGTTTTGATTGCTGTCCCTTCTGTTACGGAGCATGTTCTATTGGGACAGCATTCATATGTATGCCTTACTTTATAGCACTGTTAACTCTCCTTAGCATGTGGAGGTCTGCTCTGTTCTAAATAGGATTCCTCCTTCTCAGATCAAACAAATAATCCTTAGGGAGTTCTTACTTTTTCATTTAAGAGCTGAAAGGAAGAAAATACTAAGCACAAATAAAGACTGCTAATGAGCGTAAACTCTTTGAATGGGAGTGTTTGTGTTTGAGGCACCTCATAACTTTATATAATGAGGAATGCCTCACCTTAGCCCCTCTTCACTGGCATAGATGTTGGAGAGTTTTTGGCTAAAGGGAATAATTCTTGGAGTTCCTCCATAATGCTTTTAAGGTAAACAAACTATATTCCTTTGAAAGCCGACTGTTTTTTTTAAACTGTAGATTACCTGCTCATATCTAGATTACTTCAGGTAAGTGTATTTACTTGCATATGGAAATAAGCTTTAGAGGTAGTTTATTTTTTAAAAGTATATCTTAATCGAAAATAAGATATATATTTTTTAAAAATACAAATCTTATGGTGTAGTCAGTGGGAAAGAAAAACAGACAGGACCAAGAATGTCAAGGTTTTAGTGGCAGCTCTGTCACTAATATGTTTTGTTGCCTGGAAGCAAGGCACCTAACTTTTCTATATTTATTTTCTCACCTGATAAAAGGGAATAGTAATAGACATTATATTTACCTCAAAGGATTGTTGGAAACTAAAATTATACAACACATAAAAGGACCTAGAAATTTATGACTTTGGGCTGGGTGCTGGTGGTTTGCTCTAAGTTCAAGCCTCATGCCACCAAAAAAAAAAAAAAAAAGGAAATTTATGGCTTTGTATAAATATTATAAAGTAAAAATAATGGTCCTCTGGTTTTGATTTTCTATTGAAAACAATGAACATAAGGTATGTGAGGTGTGTTCCCTTAATGGCTCTGCATCACATCATATTTAGCCTGGTGATTTTAACCCTGATATGACCACTAATGTATATACAAATGCCTTTGCTCTTCTAAATTTGATGAATACCCAACTTGATGACTAAACTGTGATTTATAATAATATTTAAAATATCTTGTCATACTTATATGGAGCTTTAGTAATGCTGCTGTCTGCTCTATAGGAGTTGATCTAGAGCAGTCAAGAAAGGAAGAAGAGCAACAAATGTTGCAGGATGCCCGACAGTGGCTCAACAGTGGGAAAATAGAAGATGTGAAGCAGGCTCGATCTGGGGCCACAGCCCTGCATGTGGCTGCTGCTAAGGGCTACTCTGAAGTCCTCAGGTATGGTCGTTTGTTTACATCAAATAGGAATTTGTCTTACTGGGAGAAAATGAGATGAGTTTTGGAAGTAGGAAGTGAACTACATTTTCAGTTGTGATATGTTTTCTTTTTTGTTGGTTTCTGCTCTGATCATGCAGTTTTTTTTCTCACATTTTGCTGGTGTTCCTCCAGAGGTGGTCTCCCTCTATCCTATCACCCTTCTAGTCTCTTCCTGACATAGATGATATGAAACAGAGTTGAGGTACACTGGCCTAGGAAGTGACCTTTCAAGAGCTTTTCTAGCTCTATGAATTCTCCATGGATCCCCTATAACCTCCTCCTTTTGTGACATATCATACAGGATAGACCTGTGATCATTTTGGTCCTTTTTGACTAAGATAATTTCCTTGGGCTCATTAGATCAGTTTATACAGATCTCAAGTGTGTAGTGTCTAGCAGAATAGGACAAACAAACTTACATGAGAGATTTGGACTCCACTACTTTACCTGTTCCATTTTTCCTTACATCCATAAATGCTTCATGTGCTAGCTCTTGGTGCTAAATAGACAGGCTTACCCAAATACAGGGTTTGCTAAAGGCACTATATGTGCAGTTGCTGTACTATTGCAGTGTTTTGTATTCCATCTGATGGTGGAGTTTTTGGTAGGTATAGGGGTTTCTAGTGTGTTAGTATTCCAGTTCTGCCTGATTGTGACATTCATTTCAATTCTTGATTGTGACCTTTCAATTTTTGAAAGGTGACTGCAGGCCCATGATAATGGGCCTCAACCAACCCAGTCTGATTTGGGGCTTCAGGAGTCATAGCTTTCCCCTTACATAACATGGATACAAGTTAGATGATAACTTTATAGTCAGCAAGAATCATCTATGGATACTTTTGCAGAGTTGAAGGTATGAGATTCTGTAGTAAACTTGTGATACCCTGGCCAGACCAGCCAGAAAGTTAGTTGATAAAGTGCCCTGGAGAGAGTTAAGTGTTCATTTTATATGTGAACTCCTCCCAGCACTGGAAAATGGAAAGCACACTCTGTAATAGAGGTGTGTGGTTTGGCTAATTGAATTAGTTTTTGGTTAATCTCAGGTACACATCAGTCCATGTAGTCCCTTTGTGTTGTGTAACTGGACATGTGTCAGGGATACTGGATGAATGATCTTTTAGAGAGAATTGATAAAGATAATTGGGTTTTGGTGCTCAAAGTAGTAATATGAAACCTACCTATACCCTAGAGGATTGAAGTAATCACAGGATGTCATGTGGGTCATAGCCCATATTTGAAATATCAGTTGGACAGTAGCTTATTTGGCAGAAAACTGTTCGATCGAAGAGATAAATATATTATTTGGGGTTTTCTTCTTAGACTTTTAATTCAGGCTGGCTATGAACTCAATGTTCAGGATCATGATGGCTGGACTCCTCTCCATGCTGCTGCACACTGGGGAGTAAAGGAAGCTTGCTCCATCCTGGCAGAAGCACTCTGCGACATGGATATCCGGAACAAGCTGGTTAGTGAGCTTGAGCCTCTAAAAGGGCGATGAAGTCAGTCGTCGGGTCTCTAGCACAAAAAGGCTTAAAGTCTCTATTCAATTGCCAGATGACTATTTTGGGGAAATATACATCACTGGTAGCTATGTTTAGCTACTAGTGTTGCCTTCCACCTCCCTGTCCCCACTCCTGTTATCACCATAGAGGTATGTTTGCTGTGTAAAACAAAACTCTTCTACCTAGTCATCTGATTCTGTTTATGTTGAAGCCCCTAAAACAAACAAACAAAAAATATTTTTCCTTGGCAAAAATGAGATTTGAGAAGCCTACAGTCACTATGGTGACGATATGAACATTTTTACTAATTTTCTATTTAAAGTCTTTTGACAGCTGAGCTCTATTCTTATCAGGTCACTTAAAAATGTTATAACAGCAGAGATACTTGGGTTGGGTCGAAAACAATGTTATTTAGCATCACTTTTAGCAATTTAGAAGCTCTAGGACTCATATCCTATGCCTTTTGATTTTCTAGGAATGTAGAGACATAGTCTCTTAATTAGTAGATGTTCTTGTCTGCCGCACATCCTTCCTGAACCTATGTCTCTTTCTTATGCTAGCTGTCATGGTCCTTAATTGTGCTGATGTTTCCTAAAAAAGCTAACCTCTCTATCTGCCTTCCTTTTACTTAAAGAGAGATGATTCCCTTTGCCTAATCTTCAGTACACATACGTCCTAATGTCCCTCTAAGGTTTTTAAGACCATTTTAGAATAGGTATAAGTAGGATTTCTCTTGACTATTTACCTGGAGGCAGTAATTAGAAATGGTTTGATTTCTTCACGACTGCTTTACACAATACAAAACTCTGTATTTATAGGATTTCCTGTTTCTTGTAATATTTCCTCTGTTATAGATGAAGACTTCATAATGTAGAGTAGATTGATCAGGGAAGCAGCTCTAGGTTGAACATCCTTAATCTGAAAATCTGAAATCCGAAATGTTTTAAAATCTAAAACTTTTTGAGCACTGACATGATGCCTCAGGTGGAAAATTACACACCATGAAAGCACAAAGTTATTTTTTAAATTGTGTGAAATAATCATTAGGTTATGTCTATAGGGTTTATATGAAACATATGTGAATTTTGTGTTTAGACTTCGGTTCTATCCTCCAGATGCTTCAGTATGTATGGGTATTCAGCCTATATTATTGGATCAGAGGCAGAAGGTGACTGTTGAGTAGTTATTGATAAAACAAAGTCATGTGATTATCACTTCTGTTTTCTTTTGGTCATGGTACCCCTTTTTTCTGCTAGGGCCAGACACCATTTGATGTGGCTGATGAGGGTCTTGTGGAGCATTTGGAAATGCTCCAGAAGAAGCAGAATGTGGTGAGTGTCTGGTGGATGCTTTTAAGGCTTTCCTAAAAGTTTGTAGCCCACACTAGTTATCTCAATCACTTGCTTTAGCTAGGTCTGCTGAGAGTTGAACTGGACATATCTGCATCCCAGAGATTATTTGTTCCCATCAGAAACTATCAACAGTCTGTTAGAAGAAAGTATTCCAGAAATCATTGTTGTCAATGTTTGTTCATCATAAGATAGCGTTCAGTCATTTAAAAGTTAAAACTACAGCAAAATCTGAATTATTATCCTTGACTTCTAGAAAATGAACATACAAAAAACATCATTTTTTCCAAATAAGGAGTACCAGATAGAGGCTATCTCATGGCTTTTTTCCCCTTCCTGACTAAAAGGATGTTTTCATTTAAAGTACATTGATTACAGAAGGGAATGTAGTTGTTTCTTAACAACCACACAATACTAAAACTGTTACTTGTTTTTGGGCAGTAGTTGGTCAGTGAGTCATGCTTATTCCAGATTCTTGAAACATCCAGAATTCAGTCCACTAAACTCTCTTTCTTATTTTAAATCTTTTATTGTTTGGTTGCATGTACCATTCTGTTTAGTATTGTACAGGAGAACCTACCTTGATACTATGTATAAGCTACAGATGGAAAACCACCCCCCAGTAGACACATGAAGAGTGAATAAGTCACATTTTCTACCCATAGGAAGATTAATTTGGGCAAGGATATCAATAACAACAGGGTAAGACAGAAAAAAAAATCAATGGCTTTCCTTTGTTTTTCAATTGCTTGTGGCACAGGTATGTTGAACTTAAATTTAGGACAAGTGTAGGAAATAAAGCAATTCTGAATCAGAGAACTATATAATTCAGTGATGGGACAAATCAGTACATATATATCAGTCAAGTATGCTCAGCGTCATACCTGACTGGTAAAGCAGATTCTTGTTACTCAGGGCTCAATGGGAAAATTGCATACTCAAAGCTCGGATAAATATAATTCATTTTGTCTTCTTTCTTGACCAGTCAGGATCATTAAATATTAGGACTTTCCAAATGCAGCATTATTAGGTTATTAGGTTTTTATGTATTTGTAAAACCTAGTATGGTTTAGGTTTTAGACATAACATCTTCACCAAATAAACTTTCTCCACTAATGGAATTGGTACATATTTTTGTACCCTGCATAACTTTAGGTTCTAGGGATATAAGTTCTTTTTGTCTAGCACATACGTCTATCAAATATCAGACTATTTTCTCTAAAGGCTTATTTCTTATTTGGTACTTGTAGTTTCCTTATAACTACTGCCAACTTATCTCAGTGTATGGATCGTAAAGAATTCTTTCCAAGTTTCCACTGGCCTTTTGTCCTTCAGAAGTTAGGAGTTTTTTGCAAGACTGGCTGTGGATATTTGAAGGGACCAGTTTTCTTAAAGCTCTTTCTTTTCTATCTTGGATAAGGGTTTTCCATTGTCACTTTCTTCCTAGGGGAGTCAACTGATATTGGATTCTCATTTCCTCAGGTTCCCCTCTCTCCTTTTGGTGCTTTTTCAGAATGACAGTGCCATTTTGGTTCTTCTCAGTACTGCTGATTTTTCACAAATCGTCAGCTTTTTCCTTTTTCTCTCTATTTTCTTAACTTCCAGCTTCGAAGTGAAAAGGAAACACGGAATAAACTCATTGAGTCAGACCTGAACAGCAAGTTACAGGGTGGATTCTTCAAAAAGTAAGACATAGGCTTGAGGATTGGGATGAGCTTGGCTGTGTGTGGCGACATACTTACCATGAGAATTTATATTGGAAAAAAACTCCATGTTTGACTTCAGCCAAGTGATCTTCAAACATGTGGGAAAGTTTGTAGGGCAAGGAGATTACATTGATGTGGGGGGGGGGATACCAAGAGAATAGATGAATGTGCTTTAAATTTATAATTGAGACTGTGTGCATGCAGCATTTCTTTTCTCTTTGCTTGAGGGTTCTTGGTCTCACTGGCTCCCCTTACTATACTGTAAGTACCATGAGCTTAGGAACCATTCTCTTTTTTGTTTACCACTGTGCCTAGCATAGTTCCTGACATATAATAAGTAGTCACTAAATCTTTGTTAAATGATGTTTTTGAATATTATCTGCCTCATCATCATCACTATTCATGGCTCCCTTTTTTTCTGTATGGTAAACAAGCCAAGTCTCTTTGAGTCATATTCTAAGTTAATACTAAACTTTAGTCTGCAAAAAAACAAGGTTTCAGAGGAATACACAGTTACAAAAAAGGAGTTGAATGTGTTTCTGGTATTAGTTCAACATATAGATTTATAGGTTTATTCCCTTTAGAACACTCAGTTATCAGTGAACTTAAAAGATATCTCCCTTTTGAATTACTTTCAAATTGTATCATTAATTCAGCAAAGAGAAGATGCTTTATGAGGAAGAGATACCGAAGTCCCAGGAAATGGAGGAAGAAAACAAAGAATCCAGCAGCTCCAGTTCAGAGGAAGAGGAAGGTGAAGATGAAGCTTCTGAGTCAGAAACTGAGAAGGAGGCAGGTAATACAAAGACGTTCACAGCAAAGATCCTCCATTCTCACTGCTTGTCAGAGAGCTAGCCACAGCTAGCTCCAAAGGGCTCCAAAACAAGCTTGAAATTAAAATTTCAAGGATAAGAGATCAAATTGCTATTGACAACTTGACTAAGCTGTGAGCTGACCTTGGATTGGTAGGTAGATGGCATAGAGACCAGATTCTAAAAAGTTAGTATGCTGAGAGGCAGAGATCTTCTGGAGACACTTTTAGTCATATGGTTTTAACTGGGGAAAATTTGCACTTAGTCCTCAGGTTAGTCTGCTTCCCTAAACAGAATCTTAAAATCTTTTTTTTTTCTCATTATGTAAAGCTCCTTCAGTTCTTGAGTATGAGATCAAGGAAGGAACAAAATTACATTCATCTTTATGACTCTTATTAGTAACATAAACAGTTGTCTTTCAGTATCAGTGGGAGATTGGTTTGGGCCCCCTCCCAAATAGATACCAAAATCCTTAGATGTTCAAGTCCCTTATAAAATGACACAGTATTTACATATAACCTTCACACCCTCCTGTAGACTTGAAGTCATCTCTAGGTTACTTATAATACCTAAGGCAATATAAATGCCGTGTAAATTGTTGTTATACTATGTTGCTTAGGGAATAATGACAAGGGAAAAGTGTGTACATGTTCAGCACAAACACAGGCTTTTCCAAATATTTTCAACCCACAGTTGGTTGACTCTATGGCTCTGGGACCTGCAGACATAGAGGACCAACTGTGCATCATATGGAGCTTCCTAAGTTTATTGTGTGACACGACACAGGCTCTAACAGTGAGAGTGAGATGCAGAGTGGGGCCAGACCACAAGCATGCACTCTCATTTACAGACATGCAGACTCTGAGAAGAGTCCTGGATCTCACTGAATAGAGGTTTATCTGCAACAGAATAGCTTTTATACCTAACTGGAAAGTAATGATAAGCTAAGATTTCATAGCACACTTGCCCTGCATCCATGGGCACATTAGCCCTTCAGATTTGAGTCCATAAGAAGAGGAAATGTTTCCAGTTAGAAGACCAGAGGAAGTTGTAATGGATTTTGTGTTTTCCTCTGAACTCTGCTATAGCTGGCCTATCTCTAATGAAGACATTTTATTCACTCTGTTGTCTGGGTCCCAGTTTCTAATGATTTCTGATGGTGTAGCTTTGCTGACATTTTTTTCTCTTAATCATGGGAGAATACTGACCTTCTTCATGTCTCAATCGGAGGCCCATTGAATGTCACCAAGTCAGTTGTATAGAGAAGGCAAGCATCAGCTAAGTTTGGAATATAGGAGTTGATCTTATATTTGTTGAGATTTGAATTTCTCGCTCTCTCTCCCTTTCTTTTTTTAGTTTTGAACTCGGGGCTGGCGCTCTACTGCTTGAGCCACTCTGCCAGCCTTGAATTTCTCTTATTAACCAGGTGCTTGCTCTGGAAATGCTAGTGTTGCATTTATAAAGTATGAATATTCATTTTTTTGTTATTTGTATTATTTATTAAGTATTCCCATATTCTGACCTTAAAGTATTATCTAGTATTAATATTTGGCCTTGCTCTATGCCACATCACTTTGTTAGCTATCAGGGAACTAAAAAAAATGGGACAGAACGGCCTGAACTACTGTCATTGCTTCATGATTTGTACCCCTGCCTCAGGTCTCATTCCCTGCAGTCTACTTCCTCACTGCTATTGGACTAAAATACTGACCAGCATCTTATGATCAAGGTATACTTCCATTCAGAAACTTTCTATGACCACCTTCCTCATTCTCTTTTTTTCTGCAGAGTAAGTCCCAACCTCTATTGCCTTGGCCTTCAAGGCCTTTCATAATCTCTCTCCAGCTGACTTTTCCATTGCTGTATACAGGTAAGAAGTTATTGTAGCCAAACTGGATTGCTTGAGTTCCTCAACTATGGCCTGAGCTGTCCTGCCCCTGGATGTTCTTTTTGCCTTAGAATTCATTTCAGGTATCAAATGCTTTTTGAGAGAGCTCTGTTAAAAACTATAGGATAGAGCAGCTTAAAGTATTTCTTTAGGTTTTTTCTTATACAAGAAGCTGAAAAGAATGGATCCTGAGTTTGCATCACTTATCAAATACCTGAGAGAAACAGTTTAAAGGAGGTAAGATGTATTTTGGTTTACAGTTCAGAGATTTCAGCCCAAAGAACTGGCTCTATGTTTCTGGGCCTGTGGTGAGGCAGAATATCATGGTAGCAAGTGGGTGTAGTGGAGCAGAGGTGCTCATCTCATGAAATCTGGGAAGTGGAGAGAGAAAGAGAGAGAGACAGGAGGGGGCCAGGGACGAGATACCCTTCAAAGTCACATCTCCAGCAACCTTTTCCTCCTACCAGGTCCCAGCTCCAAATAATGCTGCTAAATTATGAATCCATCTATGGATTAATCCATTGATGAAATCAGAGCCCTCATGATCCAATCATCTCTCAGTGTTTGTATCCTTCAGCTAGGGAAGAAGCTGTCAACACATGAGACTTTTGGGGAACACTTCATATCTAAACCATAATATACCCCTTCCCTCTTCTCCCACTCCATGCTTATTTATCCCCTCTTTTGTTCCTTTAGCTCTGTGTACTGATTTCTCTTCTAGCACTCACTATTGCTAGGAACACTGGGTTTATTATCATACTCTTAGGTCTCAGCACAATTCCTGGAACATGACAGGCACTCATATTCATTAGATGCCTCTGTTGAATTTATCTAGTAAGGGAGTAAAAAGGCATACACCTGCTAAAATACATGTCATGTGAGAAAGATAAATGTAGTCAATAGCATTCATTGGTAAAAGATTATGTCTGAGTCAGGGACTTACAAGAAAACAGTACTTTTTACTATGTAACAACTTAAACATTTTACTTTAATCCTCATAGCCATACTTTGAGGTATGTATCATTATCACCCATTCACATTTTAGAATGGGAAATGAACATTGTAGCAGATTAGGTGATTTGAGTTTTATAGCTAGCACATGGCATGCTTAAGATCCTGAACAGAGATCAGAACTCCTCAGAGTAATAGCAGACCAGTGGAAAGTATCTGTGTAAGAATAAGAGGTAAAACTGTGGAAAAGGATAGCATCCCCAAAGAATGTAGAGAAAAGAGGTATGAGAAAGAATCTCAGGGGAATACTGCTTTTAGGAAGTGAGGCAGAATCAATGAAGGGCAAAGAAGGTGTCATCTAAAAGTGAACAAATCCAGGATGTATATTTCTGCCTCAGAGAAGCCAGGGCAGTAGTGTGTAGGGAGAGCCCAAGGATGATATTACAATTAGGAAGTTGCTGGTAATCCTAGAGAGTGGTTTCAGTAGCCTGGTAAGGGCAGAAGCCAGATGGTTCCAGCAGGCTTCTCTACTCATTTCTGCAGTACTCTGCCAACTGAAATTTTACTCATGCCCCAAAGCCCAGCTCAAATCAACTTCTCTTAGAGTTTTCCTACATGGTTTTCTTCCTTCTGATTTTTAGCTATTTATGTTAGCTTCTTTAATATTACTTTTTTCCTGCTGCTTAGTGTTTGAATTATTTTTTTCCCTCATCCCTTATGCTCTTCCCCCACTGGCAAGCTTCGGAAGCACTTGAATGTATTATGTGTCTCTTCATCTTTCTGTCCTTGTGCCTAGCACAGGGCCTTCTATCTGGTAGGTGCTTGGTAAATATGTTGGAAGAGTACAAGAAAGTGGATTGTACTTAAACCTTTCCAAATGTCGCTATTACGTATGTATGTACCAAGCAAGTATTTATTGAATGAATTTGTTCCATTTTTAAAGATCCACAGATATAACCTTATAAAATGATAGTTTTCATGTGTTTTGCATACGAATGTTGTATAGAACTACCATATGATTCAGCAATGCCATTCCTGGGCATGTATCTGAAAGAATTTAAGTTAGGATACAATAGAGACACATGCATACCCATGTTTATTCACAATAGCCAAATTGTGGAAACAGCTCAGATGCCCTACAATTGATGAATGGATTAAGAAAATGTGGTATATATACACAGTGGAGTGTTATTCAGGCATGCAGAAGAATGAAATTATGTTGTTTGCAGGTAAATGGATGGAACTAGAGATCATCATATTAAGCAAAGTAAGCCAGATTCAGAAGGACAAAGAGGGCACATGTTTTCCCTCATGTGGAATCTATACCTAAAAGATAAACATATACATACATACATACATGATCATATATATGTGTGTATATATATAACATATATATACATATACATGCATATTTAAACATGTAGGTGTTTTATACACACATATATAAAACATGACTGTAATAGTGGGACTGTTTGAGGGGACTAGAGGGAGATAGGAGAGGACAAGAAAATGATAGTAATACTGAAATATATTGCATCTGTGTATGAAGATGGAATAACAAAATGCACTGAAAGCTGCTGAATGATGGGGCATAGTTGGAATAGAAAAAAGAGTAGTAAGGGGGTTAATCTGATTAAAGTACAGTATATACATGTGCAAAGTACTGCAGTGAAACCCTTTGAACAATTAATACACACTTCAAAACATGGCAGGAAGGATGAACGGGGTGAAGGAGGGTGAATATGATTGATGTGCTTTATACTTGAATGAAAATAGAGCAATGAAACCTGTTGAAATTGTTTTAAGAAGGGGAAGGGAGAATGATGGAGGGGGTGAATATCTAACCACGATACATTATAAGCACATATGTAAATGTCACAATGAAAGCCACCTGTATGGGACACTTAATAAAAATGTAAAAAAAAGTATTCATTATATTTTGAAGAGAATATAAGCATTTTGATTAGAATTTCTCTTTTCCACTTTTATTTATTTGACCTAAATCTTGTGTATCAGTTATCCATTGTTGCATAATAAGCCATCCCCAAACTTAGGAACTTAAAACATTACCTCTTCATGTGCACCCTGCTGTATGAATGGTGATTTGGGAAGGGATCAGCTAGCTTGGGTCTCCTCCTCGCAATAATGCTGGGTTCACTCATGTTGTGCCTTCAGTTAGTACATCAGCTGGGGGAGTGGCTGGTCCTGGATGGTATTACTCACCTATCGCCTGGTGGCTGGCCAGGTTGTATAGGGTAAGTGGGCCGTGTGTCTCCCATCATCAAGCACATTATTTCTTAGTTCTTCATGTGGCAACTTCCAAAAGCAGTCAGAGAGGGCAAGGCTCAGTGTAGAAATACTTTCCAAGCCTTTGCTTATATCACATTGCTAATGTTCTAGTGGCCATAACAAGTCACCTAGCTAAGCCCAAAGTTGATATGAGCAGGCACTGCATAACGATGTGGACTCATTGGGACTCATAGGAATCTATCACATTTTGCTAGTAAACTGGATTTCTTGAGGCTGGAAATACTCAGTTCTTAAAGAATTCCTTAAAAGCCTGGGATATAGCTCAGTGGTACAATGCTTGATATCACTGAGTACAGGGTACCAAGTACGGGGCCATGCACAAGACCCTGGGTTCATTCCCCAGCATCACATTGAAAAGAAAGAAATACCTTGAGTATTCATAAAAACTACAGAAATAATGGCATTAATGACACAAGGGACTTACTGTGGCCAATGAGCTATGCAACTTTTTTTTTCTTTTGTGGTGTTGGGGATTAAACTCAGGGTCTTGTGCAAGCACTCTACCACTTGAGCCATGCCCCTAGCCCTTTTGCTTTTTAGTTTGTTTTCAGATAGGGTCTTATGCTTTGCTCAGGCTGTCCTTAAGATACAGTCCTTCTACCTCTGCCTCCTGAGTAGCTTGTATTACATGTATGTACCACTGTGCCTGGCTTGTTTTTGAGATAGGGTCTCACTAACTTTTGCCTGGACTGGCCTAGAACCATGGTCCTTCTTTCTTCACCTCCTGAACAGCTGGGATGCACCCCCATGCCTGGTTGAGCTAGGCAATTTAAAAATATTATCTCTGTAACAATTCTCATAAGGAAAGAATTCAAATCTCTGAACCAGGTGTGGTAGCTCATACCTGTAATCCCCAAATCCCAACACCTGGCAGTCTGAGGCAGAAGGATCTTCCATAATGAGACCCTCTCTCAAAAAACCAAAAGGGGGCAAAAAGAATTAAAATATCTGAGGGTCTCACTTATCCATTGACAAGAAAATAGGGGTCTGAATACAATAAGTATCATGCAGGGTATGGCTTAAAATTATCACATAATTCATGGGCAGGTTAGGGGCTCTGTTTCCAGAGCCATACCTGCTAAGTGTAGGCACTGGTAGTTATTTGGTACATGGCATTAAGTAAGACAAACAAGCTTTCTGATTGATGACCCTACTGCAGTGAGCAACTCCTATTTGTGTTATGTGAGTCCAGTTACTAAAATTCTGCAGCTTAACTTGCATCCTCTGTAATCCTTTTTACCTTTATGTCCTATTGGAACCCCAAGAATACTCATTACTTAAATTAGGACAGATACTTCATTGACAAACAGATGTGTGTATTTTGATTTCTAAGGCATTACTCATGCCCTTTCTTCCTCTTCCATCTGCCAGTTGGTACTGTCTTACAGCTTTCTTCACGGGTGTTTTTCTGGAGAACACTGACTATGGTAGTACTCAGTCTTTATTTCTTCTCTTGTAGGATCTGCCTCTTCTTTGAAATCCTATAGCACGTGTTTATCTGAATCAACCAGTTTAATACTGGATTAGATATGATCTTGTGTTATTATTATAATGTATCTTATCTCTTTCTCTCAATTGTAATTACCTGGAAAGCAAGGTCTACCTTAAACTTTTTCTGTTTCATTTTTCCTGTCCAGCCTACCCCATAACACAAAGTAGATTCTTCATAAGTAGTTGCTAGTGAATTTTATATATAACTAATAATGTAGAGACAGTTTTCATCTGGGAAATGGAGTTGGCGCCTACCCTTAAAATGCCATTGAGTTGGCTTTTTCTTCCCACAGTTGCTAGAGAGAGTTCATCTTAGATTGAATCCAGACATTCCAGGGCCCTAATGATCTGTTTTGATAAGGAGCCAACCTTTTCTGTTAGCAGAATAGGACATGTGGACAAAAGATAAGATTTTCATATGTGCACTTGTTGCTTCTCTTAACTAACAGATAAAACGCCAGAAGCCACTGTCAACCATTCCAAATCTGAAAGCAAAAGTAGTGTCATGGAACAGATACCAGCACCAACTCAGAATATATTCTCTGCCTCTTCTGCCAGGAGAGTGAGTACTTTGGAATTTACTTGCATATTATATTTCACCCTACTCTAATAGCACATATTTAGAAAGCCCTTAAAGATAAATTCTTGCAAAACAATTAAAAGATACATCCTCAGGACTGGGGGAGGCTCAAGTGGTAAAGTGCTCCTTTACAAAATACCAGTTTATGTGACATAAGCAATAGAAACCTACTTCTTATAGTTCTGGAGGCTGGAAAGTACCAGATCAATGTATTAGCTAATTCAGTTCTACATAAGGGCTCTTTTCCTGGCTTTAAGAAGGCCGCCTTGTTGCTATGTTTTAACAGTAGAGAGAGAGACCTCTAGTCAGAGTAGAACCTTACCCTGTTGACCTCATTTAACAAATACAGCAATATTATGAAAAATAGGTCATGCTAAAGGGAGGTCACATACAAGAGAGGGAAGGTAAAAGAAGGAAGTTAAGAAGGTGAATATGGTTGATGCGCTTCCTGTACAAGAATGAATGTAAAATTTTTAAACCTGTTGAAATCACCTTAAGAAGGGGACTAAGTTAGAAAGAGAGAAATAGAGGAGTTGAACCAATTAGGGTTATAATATCTATGTCACAAGGAGACTCCCTGTATAGCTATCTTAGACAAAAATGTCATTTTTTTTTCCTATTACAAAATTGGAGAACAGGAGGGCAGAACAGGTCCTGCTTGTGTGGGGGGGTATTAGTGGGAGGTAGGAGGATGTGGGGAAAGGGTGTAGGAGGGTGGATGCGGTACAAATACTGTGTATACATGTATTTAAATGGAAATGAGACCTGTTGAAACTATTCCAGGAATGGGGGAGGGGAGATAAGGGAGAATGATGGAGGGGGTGAATTTAAGTATATTTGATATATTGTAAGAATTTTTGTAAATATCACAATGTACCCCCAGCACAACAATTTAAAAAAACAATTCATCTGATTCTTTGGAATGGTCTATTGACAGAGTTCTGAGGTTTTAGAGATAGTAACTTATTTATCTTCGTAGGTACTCATGAATTGGAAAGATGGGCTTACAGTGCCCCTGTGGAACTGAGGGAACAAGTCCTAGTTACATATTTATTTCTTGAAACATTAACCAGGCTTCAATAAGAGTGCAGTTCTCATTCATTATCCAGTCATTTAGTTGTACCTCATATACAGCACTGCTTCTGGGTATGACTATGTTTGCTACATTTTTTTTGTTTTTTTAGCTGAGGCTGGCCTTGAACTCACAGTCCTCCTGCCTTAGCCTCCTCAGTACTGGGATGGATTACAGGCATATGGCTTGACTTCCTACCTTTTTTAAAAAGAAAAATTCTAACTTAAAAAAAAAATACAAACACACACATGTATTTATTCCATTTTGCTAAAATAATATTGGGAAAGAGAAAAAGATTCCTCTTAGAGTTAGGGTAGCTTGTAAAAAGAAAGGAGTACAGAAATGTACACACTCATATGATTGATGACAAGAGAAAATCTTAGTTTGACTTGGAGATGAATGATTTAATATTTTTATTAACTTTTCACTATACTAGCCAGTAAAGATTTCCTGGTTTGGGGAGAAAGACATAAACCTTTTTGCAGATGTCCCCAAACCCTAGGAAGGGAGCCGTTGGCTGGTGTCACAAAGACCAGTTATACCCTTGGGATAATTATCCTTGGGGATAAGATAGTCTGTGTTTCCTGGCTTGTAACTAAAGACAATGTAAACTTTTCATAAAGGGTTTTTTTTTTTTTTTTGAGGTACTGGGAATAGAACCCAGGGTCTTGCACATGTTAAGGAAACACTGTGCCTCTGAGCTACTGAAGCTTTCTTTTCTGATAGTAAACGTGTGTTCTTGCAATGTGAGTCAACTCCCTGTATAGCTATCCTTATCTCAACTAGCAAAAACCCTTGGTCCTTCCTATTATTGCCTATACTCTCTCTTCAACAAAATTAGAGATAAGGGCAAAATAGTTTCTGCCTGGTAGTGAGGGGGTAGAAGGGGAGAGGGAGGGGGCAGGGTAGGTAAGGGAGGGGGCGGAAGGAAGGGGAGAGAAATGACCCAAAGATTGTATGCACATATGAATAAAAGAAGAAAAAAGTGCTTTCTTACTTTTTTTAAAATAAAAAAAAGGTGATGGTGAGTTGTTCATCTTTTGAAAGATGTTCTGTCTAAGCAAATAAGAAAGATGGCAACTCTTTGACCTCTAAAATTTTCTTTTCTTAAATTTGTGGTTAGTGAAATCTAAAACTCTTGGTATCCCTGCTCAACATCAAACAAATTATCTTTCCGAAGTTAGCCATTAGAATTTGTGTACAGTGGCCTGTAATATTTTTATTAGTGTTAATTTAAATCAGCTTATCACATACAGTACCTTCAAACATACTTACACATGAGCTCATCCTGTTTTTTTAGATTCCACATATGATAGGAGGAAGTAAACTCATTATCACCACTTTGCAGATGAGGATGTTGAGACCTAGAGAAGCAGAGTATCTTATTTTCAGGTGCCCTGCCAGTCAAGAGAAGATGTATCACTAGAGCACAACATCCTGGTGCTCCAGGTCAGCACTGGTCGCAGGAGAACAAGTCTGTCAGGTAGGAGCTCTGTGCTGAGAATGAGTCTGTTCTATTTTAGGGAGAAAGAGAGCCTTGACAGATGATTGGAATCTGCCCTGTGAGGGCACCTTGGCCGAAAGCCTGCCATGTATTTGTTCTTCTGGTTCTGCCCTATGCTGCCTCACGAACTTCTTAAAGTGTGGAAACGGAGATCAGGCTGAAAACGAATGAATCAGCACCCAGAGTTCATGGTTTTGATGAGTGTTTTTCTTTCCTTTTTTATAACGCTGGGGTTTGAGCTCAGGGTCTCGCATTTGGTAGACAGGCACTCTACCACTTGAGCCACAACTCCAGCCCTCTACTTCTTTCTAAAACTTCCTTTTTCCTTCCTTGTTTTCTCCCTTATAGTACTCTTCCAGCCTTTTTAACAAGCCGGAAGAGACCAAAGATGAATCTCCTTCTTCATGGAGATTGGGACTCAGAAAAACTGGCAGCCACAACATGCTGAGTGAAGTCGCCAATTCTAGGGAAGCTCTGAGGGACCGAGGTTCTTCCATCTACCGTTCCTCGTCAAGCCCTCGGATCTCTGCCCTGCTGGACAGCAAAGATAAGGTGAGGTTTGATGGGTATGGAGGGAATTTCAAGGCAGTTTTCTTCTGTGAAAATTTGGTCTTGAGAACAAGTGAAAATAATTTCTAGTCCCTAAGTTGATTGTGTATGTACAAAGTCTTTAAAGGGAGACAGATACATTGATAATTCAACTAGGTAGCTATTTGCTTGGCCAAAAAAATGGTGGTGGGGGGGTGTTTAAATACAGCTTTTCTTTTTGGCTTACCTTATGTTCATTTTTCCTTACCATCTTACCTTGAGTAAAACAATGATTCAGAGAAAATTGGCTATGACCCAAATGGTTCTTTTGAACCAATACCAGAACCATGTGTTTGATGCTTAGAAGTAAAGTTTCTTAGTTCGACTTTGAATCCTCATGCAGTTCAGGCACATTAACTTTCAGAAAACAAAATTTAATCAAAAAATTTTTTGATTAAAAAAAGTTTTTGGAGACAGGCAGGCCTATAACTTGATATATATCCCATGTGAGCCTCAAACTCAAAATCTTTCTGCTTCAGTTCCCCCAAGTGCTAACACTATAGGTGTACATGCCCAACCTTGGAAGAAAAATTTAAACTTGTTATTTTTTTATTTGTAGAAGTATGATCAGGCTAACTTCATGAGCAGTTCATCTATGTATCCATCAAAGATAAATCTGGTTCAGGATTTTATAGGGCTCACCTAGTGTTCTTCTCCGGGGTCAAGTCTTTCTTGTAATCGCAGTCTTCTTGCTCTCTTGCATTTCTGGAGACAACTTGAAGGGGTGAGGCATAGTAATTGGATTAACTGTGTAGCACATTTGTTGTGCGTGTTCCTAAGGAAGCTGCATTTCAAGGAAAAGATAATCTGGAGACTAAATCAGGCTTATTTCATCAAGAACATTAGAGTAGAGTTCACTCTGGCTTTTCAAAGTCTCCTCCTCTCTCTTGGCAGTGCTGCTGCTTTGTGTAATCTGTACTACTGCCTTCTTTTTTGGATCATCCTGACTTTTCTCTTAAGGATTATTTCCCTATGTATGGGTTTTAGTGGAGGAAAGTTAGGAATAAGCTTTTAAATACCATTCATAATGGAATTAGTGTTGAATCCAGGTAAGACATTATATAGGTATATTAAGTCCTGCTTTTTTTTTAATCAAAAATGTTTCGTGCTATGCCAGTATTGTATGTTTCTTGTGCTTTACTTTTTTCTATTTTACAGGAAAGAGAAAACAAAAGCTATTTTAGTTCACTAGCACCCCGGAGGCTCAGCAGCACAAATGGCATTGAAGAAAAGGAGAACAGGTAATCATAATACAGGCTAAAAGGTGATTTCCTTTAGCTCTTCTGGGCATCGTGATCTGACCTCTTGGCCATTACGCCTCTGCCTTTTCCATAGGTGTCCTTAGCACATTGTGAATTGTTTGTTCCCTCTGCTTAGAATAACTCCCAGCCCTTATTCCTTTATCCCTCAAACTCTTTAACTCCTACTTTGTATTACTGTCTGTAGGACATCTTCCATGACCCTTCCAAGTGTAGGTTAGTTTTTGTCCCCCAGCAGTTCTATATAGGTAGAGCCTGTGTCTATCTGGTTTCTCAAGGGCTCCTTTGCCTAGCACACTGCTACCACATAGTAAACACCAACACCACTGATTTACTTGAATCAGTCAACTTCTAATTTGTGCGCAGATAAAATTTAAAGCTTTCCTCATCAGTTAAAGTAAATACACAAATTCCGAAGTATTGCTTCATGTCAGGATAGAGCTTAATCTAGAGCCTTTCTTCTGAAGTTGCAGTCCTCCAACCAGTGATATTGATCTCACTAGCAGAATGTTAGAACTGCAAAAACTCAGGCTGCAAGCTAGGATTGCTGAGTCAGAATCTGCATTGTAACAGAATTTCCTAGGTGATTGAAGTACACATGAAAGCTCTAGAGAACCTTGTGAAGGAAGCATGGAGACCCACAGCCTTTCTAACAAAGACCCCAGGTTATCAGTTGTGGATCCAAAATCCCAGTACACCCCTTTTCTAGATGTTTTCTCATTCATTTATAATGCTAAAAAGACTCCCAGCAAGCTCTCCTTTCTTTTCCTCTTCTGCAGTAACCTTTTTTCATGGTGACACACTTCCTCACCTTGCCCACCAATCCTTTCTTTGCTTAATTTATAGTCCCCTTACTAAGGGGACTAATTATAGGGTGCTTTTTAAACAAGGAATAAAAGTTACTCCTCAGGGTTGAAGGAGTGACTCAAGATGTACTAGTGCGTGCCTAGCAAGCTTGAGGCCATGAGTTCAAACCCCAATGCTGAAAAAAAAAAAAAGTGATTCCTCTTACAAAAGGGTGGTGGTTTTTTGATATGCAGAATTTGGTACCTGTTCAAATGAGTCGGCTTTGAAGTTACATAGAAAACAGGTATATAAAACAGAAACACTTAAAAGGTATCTCCATTTCTTTAGCCATATTACAGTTTCCTATTGGCTTTTCTCTGTTTATGTTATATCAGGGGCAACACTGGTGGAAGGAATCAGTGTTTGTTGGTTTTCTTTTATGCCTCTACAGAGAATCAGCTGTTAATCTAGTGAGAAGTGGCTCCTACACCCGGCAACTGTGGAGGGATGAAGCAAAGGGAAATGAAACCCCACAGAAAATTGCTCCTTCCACCTATGTATCAACCTACTTGAAAAGGTACCAAGTGCAAAAGGGTGGGAGATGATTTTCCTTCACTCTGGCTATTGGAATATGGGTAATAACTGCATGCCTTTTTATTCCAATTAGTACCACAAAAAAGAATCAACAAATGAATTGCTTTTAGATATCTTGGGCTGAACATCTTGACTGATTTAAAATTAAAATTAATTTGTTCTCTTAGTGACTGAATTAAATATGCTAATTCCAAATTCTTACCACAGACATGGCTTTATACTCAGTTCTCTCAGTCCTTTTAAAATCTTAAACAGAAGTGACTTCTAGTAATCTCAGGGCAAAACTGAATTTAAAACACTGTTGTCCAGTAGTTTGCTTTCTTTTTTTTTAAAACTAGAGTAGTTCTCAAGTTATTTTTTATGGGGAGGAAGGGAGGGACACTATAGGGTGGTGAGGGGTGGGAAATGGGGACAGTTTTCTATTGCATTAAAGACATTTCATATTGAAGCCTGTTAATTTAGGGACTTGAGTTTTTTGTTTTTTTTTATGACTTTAATGGCCTCAGATCCATCAAGATGTGAAACTCGCAAGTTTGGTGCAGAGAAGGTACATGGGTCTCCTTTTTTTTCTCATCTATATTCCCTTTTCTGCAATTATTTTCTTTGCCACGAGCTAGCCAGCAAGCAAAGCACCTTTGCCAGACCATTAAGCTACAGATACAGTTAATTAATGTTTTAATTTGAACTTTGCTGCTGATGTGGAAGAATCTGTTTTTCATTGCTTACTTTGAATTCTTTCTTCACTTCCACTTAACCCCTCCTGCTGCCTCTTCATGCCTTTATCATTAGATTTTCTAAATGACTGGGTGGCTACCTTAGAAATAAGTTTTGCCCATAGACTATATGAGCAGATTAGCTGTTTGGGATCAAAACGTATTTCTACGTGACAAAAAGATTCTTGTCAAATAGTTTATGTCACACATAACTATAAAACTATAGCTATAAAAGAAATGGCCATTGTTATCTTTTAGTTGTCTTCAGTTCTGCAGATACATTCTATAAAAAAAGGGCTCAACTTTGAAAGTATGCAAATATAGCTTTTTTGTGGGGGTAGGAAGTACTGGGGTTTGAACTCAGGGCTTTGTGCTTATAAGGCAGGTGCTCTACAGCTTGAGCCATATCTCTAGTCTACAAGTACAGCTTAATGATCTCACTGACTCTTTATCTTGCAAACCAGAGTTTTTGGCCTTCACAAGGCTGTCATCTATTTGTCTTAAAGGCAGAGGCCTTGGTTTACCTAGATACATTATAGATCTAGGAAAGAGAAAAAGCTGACATTTAGTTTCTAGGCATGGAGTTATTTTGTAGTGAGGTTGTTGATGTTCGTGATCAAGTCATCAACAAGTAGCTTGAATGGCATTTGATTTGACAGATGTAGTTTGCCAAAGTTTTGATGAATAGGGGAGGGAAGGGCTACTCTGTTTGGGTAGGTAGTGTGCTTAATTGTGTAAGCACTTTTTGAGAAAAGATCTACAGCTTGCTTCATATTTTGGATTTCCAAAGCTCATCTTCTATAACCCTAAAAGCATTTTTTGGTTTTTATAAAAAATCCTATCTTATATGCCATCACTATATTAAAAAGAAAGTACAAGTAGGAATTTGTGATTCCCTGGCTGTGCCAAACCTTGTGATTCTTTCCATTTTCTATGTTATCTCTTGTCTGTAGGCAAGAATCAATTTCATATGGCCCAATAAAGTGCCTCTTCTCCTGAGAAAGTTTCATAACCTTTTATGATTAGCCCCTCAATGTCTCATTACTATTACAGTCAGGAAGTATTTTTAAAAATTCTAACCCAAATAATTTTTTTGCTGCAGTTGAGATAGTTTTTATCTTCAATTGAGACCAGGTTGCCTTTTATTCTTCATGCAGTATTACTTTCTAGACTAAAACTTTAAATCCTCTCAGAGGCATTTTTGTTTTAAGCTATATATCTACAGTTCTCAAAGTCATTTTTTCACATTTTACCCTTCTCTACTTTTTAATCTTAAGTCTCTAAAACCTCTTCAATTTCTGGCTTTTGCAGTGCTACTTCCATATCAGGTAGACATTTGAGGTTGCATGATTTTTTGCATTGGGTTTGTTGGGGATTTGTTTCAATAGAATTATGCTATTTCCTATTATTTCCCTTTCTTACCTTCTACTGTTGAGATATAGTCTACTTTCCTGCTTCCTTTTGTTAAATATCCTCCTTCACATTCTTTACTCTTTTGGATGATTGACCAAAATACCATCCTTCAAAGAGTGATGATTGCTTCACTCTTTTGAATGATTGCCTGCTTGCTGCCAGGGCCCAGCTCCAGCTAGAGTTGACCACTCCACTTCCCAGTTGCCATATTCTCTCTTTGGTCTACATTCTTTTTAAGTGCACAATCTGGGTGGGAAGGTGGTGCTGGGAAATGGTGGTGAGCAGCATGTCCTGAAGAAAGTGACTCTGTGATGTTTTGCAGTGCTTCATTTGGTAGAAGTAGTGACCCCACAAGTCCCTACATTTCAGCCAATCGCAATTCATCTCCTGCTACCTCACCCATTACCATTGGTTCATCTACCTCTCGGGGCAGCCAGTGGCAACCTGCCTCTTCTTGCCCTGCACCCATCAGTGCAAACACTACTGCATCTGTACAACATGGCAGGTAAGGCTTCTTTGAGCCATTTGAGTTGCATTCATCAAAGTTAATGCTTTTGGAAACACATACAAAATTTGAACTAAAGAGACTTTGTCACTGTAGAAGCAAGTTTGATTTCCTGTGAAAATATCTGCAGTTTAATTGTTTTGACTTTTACTAGCCAGTCGACAGCTGCTGTTGAATAACAGGATGTATATATCCTTGTACTTGGGATTCAGGAGTCAATTTAGCACAACTGCTTTCATCATTTTGCAAAACCTTACCAGTTGTGATTACAATGTAAGGATCAGTTCTGCTTTGATAAATTAAGTGTTAAAATATTCCTATATTTGACTTATATTAACTCTGTAATAGTTATGAGTAGGAATCTTGTGTATCTAGTCATCTTGGAAGATGGCATACAGTCTCAAAAGAGAAGGAAAGCTGATCATATTCCAAAAGCTCCTACAGCCTTCTGAGAACTCCAGCCAACAGGGACACTGTGGGAAGGAAGAGATTTGTGTGTGTCTAAACTGGGTTCTGGGGAAAACATCTTCTTGGTTTCTGGTTCATCTGAAGGATTGCATGGGCTGAGTTATTATGAAACTGCAGCCGGGCTTTAGCTGCACTTTTAACTGTCGTTTTTAACTCTTTTCATGTGGTTGAGACCTTTTTGCTTTTGGGGTATGGCTTTTGTAGGTCTTTCTCTACATTTGACACCAAAAAAGAAAAATGTTAATGATGAGAATATTGTTGCAAAAACACCAGTTATAGTGATGTTTGTCAGTTTACTAGATTCTTTTCCTAAACAAGTAGTGATCATTAATTTGGCCAGGAAGGACAGGTTTATGACGTATTACTATTAACATGACTACATAATTATGTAGACATTATTAGGTCCTCATAATCAGTTACTTATAAGGCGGGGAAGGCTTATGACAGATAATGAATACTAGTACTGTATGGTTATGTTGAAATTTATTAAGTCCCCATAATAATTTAGCTTTACAGACATGGTAAATATTTTTTTTTCTTTTTTTTTTTTTGAGACATGGTAAATATTATCACCTTAGATGAAGAAACCAAAACACAGAAGGCTGGGGGGTTAGCTTAGTGGTAAAGCACTTACCTAGCACACGCAAGGCCCTGAGTACCATCCCTAGCACTGCGGGGGGGTGGAATTCACAGAACTAAAACTAGGGAAAAACAAATACAGCTGTCACTTGTTGAACCCTGTTTTGTGACAAGCATTGGATTCAGAACTATATAAAAATTACACTGGGGTTTGGTTTACTCACACATAACAATAAATTCACTTAATAGCACCTTAAATAAGGTAAAGGTTTATAGCTTTTCTTGCATGTAAGAAAGCCCAGAAATAGAGCTAGCATAGTAGCTCCAAAGTTGTTAAAGGATCCAGGTTGGTTTCCATCTTTCCCTTCTATAATCTTTACATTACAGCTTCTATTTCCAGGGATTGCCTCATGGTCAAAATAATCACTGGTGCTCTAGCCATCATGGCTGCATTCTAGGCAGAAAGCAGGAGGAAAGCAGGAAATAGGCATGGAGAGAAACATTGATTTTTTTTGCTGTGTCTTATTAGATTACCTCCAGCTTCTAGGAGACCTTAGGAAATGTGAATTTTTAATAGGTACAATTGTTGCCCTCAATATTAGAGGGGCTCTGTGTGTAAGGAAGAAAGAGACAATGGATATGGGTTAGGCTGCTTATTTATAGTTTCATAGAGAGCTCCTGAGTATATGAAGTATTACTCTTGTTTTATAGATGAGGAAACAGACCAAAATATTAATCTTCTGCCCAAGATCACATAGCTTTTAGGAACTGAGGGAGGGTTTGAACCTAAATTTGTCACTATTTTGTTTCTACTGAGTTTATATTTTATTCTGGGCACTATTTTAGGTGTTCTGCATATACTGTATTTTATTTAATCATCACAAGAACCCTGCATATTATGTTAGCCCTATTTTTAGATGAAGAAGAGATCAGTTAAATTGGCTTAAACTTAGTCCCAAGTTGTTCCAAAGCCCATAATTTACTTCACTCCCTTGTTCAGCTTCTGATCCCTGCTGCAGGGCTTTTCCTATTCTGCTCCTACCAATCTACTTGTAAAATGATACCATATTTCAAAAGAATAGTAAAAATCCTATTGTACAATTTAACAAAATAAAATCACCGGCATTTCAGCACTTAAGAAATTACAGAGAGACCAAAACATGTTATTAACCTAAAAAAAAAAACCTTCAGGTAAGGTTTTGATAAATATAGAGCCTTACCTAAGGTTGTTTTGTTTTTTGTTGTTGTTTTTTTTGTTTTTTGAGATGGTCTCTTTATGTTCTCTAAGCTGGGCTGAAGTGAGCCTCCTGTCTCAGCCTCTTGAGTTGCTGAGACTATAGACACACACTACCATGCCTTCCTATAGACTAGTAAGTCTAAGAAATTGTTTACCTTCAATTTTTTTTTAATTAGAAAATGAATGTACAATTTCACCTTATTCTGAGTTACTTATTGCTTCTGGAGAAGTGGCTTTTATTTTTTAGATACTACTTTCATCTTCAAAAATATTCTGTTTTGAGCCAGGTGCAGTGGCTCAAGTTTGTGATTCTAACTACTTGGGAGGCAGAAATCACGAGGATTGCAATTTGAGGTCAGCCCTGCCAAAATATTCGTGAGACTCTATTTCAATCAATGGCTGGGGACAGTGGTGTACACCTGTCCTCTCAGCTACTCAGAGGATCACTGTCCAGGCCAGCCTGAGCATAAAGCAAGACCATATCTCAAAAATAACCAACTCAAAAAGGGCTGAGGGCATGGTTTAAGTGGTAGGGCACCTGTCTACCAAGTGCAAGGACCTGAGTTCAACCCCCAGTACCATATGAAGAGAAAGTATTCTATTTTTATATTTGTATCTAGATACCATATTTAGATTTTAATGATCTGATTATTTCTCTTAACCTTATTCTATTGTAATTTTTGGAAGTGAGTTGCTTATAAACATTTCTGGTAACAATTGTGAGTAGGTGAAAAACAGATTTTTAACATTCATGCTTTTCATTGCTTTTCCCATCTCTGTGAGTATCAATTTTGGATCTCTGTTACCCCAGCAACAAGCTGTGACATCACAAATGATAGCTTTTTGGGTGGAGAGCCAATGTTGCTCCTAACTCTTTGTTAAGAAACAAAGATCTTGTTTTCACATAAATGAGTTTAATTATACAGCTTGCCGTTGACAAGTCTGTAGTTAAGATTACATATAGAATCCTGCTTGGTTTTTATTTTAGTTTCTCACTTACGCAGTTATGAATGTAGACAATTAGGCATTTGTTAAATAGAAAGAGACTGCAGTTGCTGAAGTAGGTGAGAGAGATCTAAACACACTGAGGTTGTAGAATATTTTCCAAATGGATAATCGAAGAAGACGGCCATGAAGTCTAGGCTGATGCTGCCACACAGATTCCCACTGCCAAGACTTAAGGGACAGGTGGAAACTAATATCGTAAGTGTCTTTAGTATTTTTTTCATGTGTAAGGAGAACCTGTCTCTGTGTGCATGTGTGGAGGGAGGCCAGATGGTAATGAGAGTCATTTAAAACACTCTTGCATATGTCACTATCTTGCCTTTTGCTATAGATAATTTTTGTTTGTTTGTTTTTTAATCTCATGCAGAAAAACAAAAATCTCATAAAATGCAAGTCTTCAGGCAAGGAATGTTAGATAAATGTGTAGTTATTCTGTTCTAAGATTTTAAGAGCTCAGAATTAACAAACCAACAAACAAAACCTGAGCAAGAAGATTTTCTGACTCTGCTGTGTCTATGCCAGTGCTTTGTTGTATAGCATGCCTGATCATCCTCTTTCTGCACGTGTCTTTTTTCAGGACTCCTTACAAATCCCAGACTGAATCCACAGCAGAGAAAACAGCAGACAGTGTCTCTTCTAGTACCCCTCTGTGTGTGATCACCAATCGTCCTTCACCTAACACCGCCAATGGGGTTACAGCTACCCCTGTGCTTTCCTCTACTGGAACAGATTCCTCTGTGGAAGCCAGGGAGAAGAGGAGGTATGTTAGGTTACTAATGCCTTTGTGAAGCTCTGCTTTGAGGTAAACAATGAAGGAGTGGGTGTGAAATCTTTTCCCTAAGCTCAGATAAATTTGTGGAAATACCTTAAGTTCACTGTTTGGGTTCTGTCATTTGCTCTTGGGAGGTCTTTGTTAGAGATCTTAATTATTTCTATTATGGGTATGGCCATACCTTTTTTGTGTGTTTGTTTTATGAAAGAGATCATTGTCAAGTATTATTTCTATATTTTATAATGGGGAACCTGAGATTGATCTTTTGTTCTGGGTAGTCCATGATGACTTCTCTGGCAGCAAAGTAATAGTGATGACAAAAGGCTAAAAGAAATAGAGCTAGAATATATAGTTTTGGCTAATTTGAAAACAGAAAAGGAAATGAATAGTTTATGATGATGTGGTAGAAGGATAGTAACCAGCTATTCTACAATTTTTTTTTCATTTTCTTTTTATTCTTTCTGAAGTGCTGGGGATTAAACCCAGTGCCTCATGCATGCTATGCAAGTGTTCTACCACTAAGTTATATCCCCAGCCTCTATTTTTTTTTCTCCTGTTTGAGACAAGTTCTTGTGATGTGGTCTAGATTAGCTTTGAACTTGCAGTATTACCTCAATTTCTTGACTGCTAGGATTATAGGCATGTACCACTGCACCCTCTACTCTGGAATTTCTTTCTTTTCTTTTTTTTTTTTTTGTGGTACTGGGGCTTGAACTCAGGACCTACACTTTGAGCCACTCCACCAACCCTTTTCTGTGAAGGTTTTTTCGAGATAGGGTCTCATGAAACTATTTGTCTGGGGTTGGCTTTGAACAGTGATGCTCCTGGTCTCTGCCTCCTGAGTAGCTAGGATTACAGGTATGAGCCACTGGCACCTGGCACTCTGCAATTTCTTTAGAGAGAAATTATGAGAAAGCAGCTGTTGAATGACAGGAAAAATTTTAAGAAAAGCTTTTTTTCCTTTTTTTGGTGATACCAGGGTTAGAATTCAGGGCATTGCACTTGAAAGGCAGGCACTCTTATTTTTTTTTTTCATTTTTCTTTTATTATTCATATGTGCATACAAAGCTTGGTTCATTTCTCCCCCCTGCCCCCACCCCCTCCCTTACCACCCACTCCCCCTCCCTCTCCCCCCCCAATACCCAGCAGAAACTATTTTGCCCTTATTTCTAATTTTGTTGTAGAGAGAGTATAAGCAATAATAGGAAGGAACAAGGGTTTTTGCTGGTTGAGATAAGGATAGCTATACAGGGAGTTGACTCACATTGATTTCCTGTGCGTGTGTGTTACCTTCTAGGTTAATTCTTTTTGATCTAACCTTTTCTCTAGTACCTGTTCCCCTTTTCCTATTGGCCTCAGTTGCTTTAAGGTATCTGCTTTAGTTTCTCTGCGTTAAGGGCAACAAATGCTAGCTAGTTTTTTAGGTGTCTTACCTATCCTCACCCCTCCCTTGTGTGCTCTCGCTTTTATCATGTGCTCATAGTCCAATCCCCTTGTTGTGTTTGCCCTTGATCTAATGTCCACATATGAGGGAGAACATACGATTTTTGGTTTTTTGAGCCAGGCTAACCTCACTCAGAATGATGTTCTCCAATTCCATCCATTTACCAGCGAATGATAACATTTCGTTCTTCTTCATGGCTGCATAAAATTCCATTGTGTATAGATACCACATTTTCTTAATCCATTCGTCAGTGCTGGGGCATCTTGGCTGTTTCCATAACTTGGCTATTGTGAATAGGGCAGGCACTCTTATCACTTGAGCCACTCCACCAGCCCTTAAGAAGAACTTTT